CTACTTCACTTAATGTTTAGTCAGTTCTCTGTTGTTTAATAACAGTATACTACAGACTAGGTAATTTATAAAGAATAGAGGTTTAGGGACTAGCAGATGACATAAAGATTATGTCGCTGAACTTCCAGGTATTACATTAAACACCAACCGCTGTTTGAGTCTGGATCTAGAGGCTTAAAATGCACACTGGGTGCATGTGTATGTGTGCCCAAAATCCTGAGAGGAGAAGGGATTGCAACATGGCCATCCCCTGGGGAGTTATTTCTTGCCACTTTCTGTCTCCCTGTCTTTCTGATGAGTACACGTGCCCTATAGCAAAAATCTCTCTAAAAAAATTAATTAATTTAAAAAAATAAAGGTTTATTTAGCTCATGGTTTTGGAGATCTCAGGTCAAGGGGCTACACATAGTGAGGGTCTTCTTGTTGGGGGAAATTTCCAGCAGAGTCTTGAGGTGATGCAGGGAATCACATGGAAACACAGAGCCATCAGAAAGCTTGTGTGTCAGTGATTGTGTCTGGGTCCTTCTTTAAAAGCCACCAGGATTTGGGGCCAGCAGGTGGCATGGTGGTTGAGGGTGCTGGACTCCCACATGGCCGACCACAGTTCAAGTACCGAACCTGGCGGCTTGCTTTCTCTCTCTTACTCTGTCCCTCTCTGGTCAAATTAAAATGAGAGAGAGAGAGAGAGAGAAAGAAAGAAAGAAAGGAAGAAAGAAAGAAGAAAAGAAAAGAAAGAAGGACAGTCAAATAAAATAATTCTTTTTTGGGGGACCAGCAGTTGGTGTAATGGCTATATTGCTGGATTCCCATGTAGTCAACCACGGTTCAAGTCCCGGACCTGGTGGCTTAAAACTCATGCAGGGTGTGTGTGTGTCTGTATGCCCAAGATCCTGAGAGGAGAATGGAGGAAAAGGTATTTCAGTGTGGCCATCCCCCCTGGGGGGGTGATTTCTTGCTTTCTATCTCTCTGTCTCTAAGCGCATGCACCCTATAGCAAAAACCTCTCAAAAAATTATTAAAAAAAATTTTTTTTTTTAAGAAGAAAAAGGCCATCAGGATTCGGTCATGAGGATCCTACCCTGATGACCTTATCCTAATCACCTCTCAAAGGCTCCACCTCTTAAAACTATAGTCAGATTACGTTTTTAACCCTCTTAATCCCGTTATAATACAACCAGATTTCAACATGTGAATTTCTGGGGGGACATGTTGAAACCAGAGGACTTAGGATAATTCACTTTTAAGATAGTATCAGTGTTCTAAAGACATCATGTTTGGGAAGTCCTTAGAGTCTTCTTGCTGTCTTTTTAAATCCTAGAAATTTATTGCAGCACTAGCCCCAGTGTTGCTTTTCAATCCTAAAATGGATGTTGGTGACTAGAGAAGATTTGGAGGGTTGCACTGATTAATAAAAGAGGCTGAAAGTGTTAGGAGAGACAAGTTAAAGAAGTCAATGAAGCACTTCATTTTTGGTATTATGGAAGAATGGAAACCCTGAATAACTCTTCCTCTTGAGATGTTTCTTGTCCCTATGCTGTCATTCTCCACTGAATGTAAGCTCCCTAAAGGCAGGCATGATCATTTTGTTTGCTTATGTAACAAGCTGCTTGAACAGTGTCTGGTATCTTGTAGAAGCTCAACACATATTTGATGAATGCACAAATGAATCCTCAAAGCAAAGTAAAAACATAAAGCCTGGGAAGTGAGTTATATAGTAAGTAAATAACCAAGAAAGACAATCAATGAAACAAAACCTGATTCTTTGGAAAAACTTATTAAAGATACATCAGGACCAGCAGGTGATGCGGAGGCTAAGGCAGCTGGGTCCCACATGACTGATTCTGTGGTTTAAGTCCTGAACCCAGCAACTTGAAAACTACACCAGGTGCATGTGTGTGCATACCCAAAATCCCAAGAGGAAAATGGAGGAGAAAGAATTGTGATGTGGTCCATCCCCCATGAGGTGATTTCTCATTTTCCCTTTCTCTCTTCTCTCTGTCTCTCTCTGGCAAGCACATATGCCTTGTAACAAAAACAAAACAAACAAATAAAATAAACAAAGCTTCACAAGTCTTTGATAACATTTTTCAAGAAAGAGAAAAAAGACATCCCAAATAGTAAGAGTTGAAAATGAAGATATAATAGCTGATGTCAGAAAGAATAAATAAATGAGGGAACCAGCAGTTAGCGTAATGGCTATGTCGCTGGACTCCCACGTAGTCGACCATGGTTCGTGTCCCGGACCCGGTGGCTTAAAACTCACGCCGGGCACGTGTGCGTGCGTGCCCAAGATCCAGAGAGGAGAATGGAGGAGAAGGGATTGCGGTGTGACCATCCCCCCTGGGGGGGGTGATTTCTCGCTTTCTGTCTCTCTGTCTCTCTCTGTCTGTCTAGCAAGCACACGCGCCCTATAGTGAAAAACCTCTCAAAAAAAAAAGAATAAATAAATGAAAAGAGAATGTTATGAATTTTAAACCAACAGTTTTGAAGCATACATGAAATGTATATATTATGGAGAAAATATAATTTATGGAAAGGAACAGTGATTTAAGAAGAAATAGTATTATAGGCTGTCAGATAAGAGCAGGAAATCCAAAGACTCAAACAGAAAGTGCATCTAACATCTCACACATGACTGTCACGGGTTGCAGCCAGAATCCCCTGGTGCTAATAGGGGAAAGGGTACCTGATTTTTACTGCCTAAACTGTAGGCACTGGACCAGGCAAAGTCCCTATGTGCATGCTCACACCTTCAAAATTCACACTGGCCATATGTAGGACTAAAACAGAGTAAAACCTAACCCCATTCCTGGTGCAATAACCACCTGTTAGTCTGCCTGCTCAGACATCTCCTATGTGCACTATTAACCCCCCCCATACTTTTCTCATGGCTGTGGCCTTATTTGTATCTCAGGATGGATCTCTAACATTTGAGATCTGGGCCCAGGAACGAGTACCCCATCAGGATGCCCCCCATCTGATGACAATAGAAAACATGAATCGTGCTTTAATCTCAAAATAAATTGAACCTGTAGTTTGATTTTCCCACAAAGGAAACATCAAGCCTAGATAACTCTGTAGGTGTGTTCTACCTCATGTTCAAAGAACAGATTATTCTGTTTATATACAAACTCTTCTAAAGACTAGAAGACTATATGATAACTAGTGAGATTATCAATACATTAGTGAAAACCACAAAGGCAGTAGAAGAAAGGAGAATCACAAGTTGCTTATGAACATGATACAAAAATCCTAAACAAAATGTTAGCAAAACATGCCTGGCAATAGAAAGATAATATATGGGTTTGGGTAATCCCAAGGAGGCAAGATTAAATAATACTAGACGATCAATTTTCTAGAAATAACAGATTAGGTAAATTGTACCAAAGTATAAGCAGACTAGACAAATTGCACTGTTTATACACAAATCCACGCATGTGCAGACATACATGCACACATACATACACGCACCTTCAAAAGCCTCAGAGTGTTGATAAGGTGGTAAAGAATCACAGGGCCAATATCCAAAATGTATTGATCTACTTCTCTTCTGGGTTGGGACTTGGGGGAGTTGGTGGAGTTGGTGACAATTGAAGGTGCTGCTAGGAGGCTAAGCAGTGCTTTCCCTTGTCCTACAAAGCTAAGTAACAAACAGTCAAGTCCAGAGCCCAGCAGAATATATGTGTAAGGGGTGAGGTGTTGGCCAACTCCTTATGCTTTGGGTAGGCTGCATCCTAGGAGTAAGGGTGAACTGCAAGCAACTAAGCCACATGTGCATTTCAGCCCAGCTTCAAATTATCTCAGGCACAGAAAATGGAATAAAGTTTTCTAGTATCATTAGTGTCCTAGGCACTGGGCAGAAGCAAACATAAATCCTGACTAAGTGAGATATAATCGTCCAAGGATTCAAATCGTTTTTGTATTTCTTTAAGTACAATAAGTGGCATACAATAAAATATAATCAGGAAAACAAAGAGCAAATGCAACATGTATAAGAACTGATATAAACAAAAAAATAGAAATAGAGCCATACATAGTAATTACTAAAACATGGAGGAGCTGTAGCTCATTGATATTTAATTTATTGATTAAATTATAGGGAAATAGGTTAATAAACAAGCTGAAAAAAAGTGGAAGCTACATTTAAGAGGGGAAATAAACAATTTTAGTATCAGAGGGTATGCATATTTGTAAATAATGTAGGCATATGAAGATTTTTATACCTTTTTGTACTCTTTTCCTATGATCTAGTCTTACATAAAAGTGTTTTAAAATAGCATCAAGGGCCCATCATTGTGGGGATATTTAAGACTTTATCTGGTGGCACTGAGGGAATTGGGCTTCTCTAGTAATAAAGCCAGGGAAAAGTTTATATAACAACTTACATGTTTTGCAAGGTATCTAAATCAGCGGATGTACTAGTGTGCTTTATTCTTTATGTATTGCTGAATGGGTTGCATCAAAAGTTCTATGTATAGGTGGGGGCACTTGATGTTGTGTGTCTGACAGGGGTGTGCCCCAGTTCTCAAGTGGAGGAGGAACTAATCTTTTCAGTTACACTTTATAGTGGAGATGTAAGGCATAGTTAAGCTTTAAAAACTAAATGGGGTTGTGGGACCAGCAGATGATGTAATGGCTATGTCGCTGGACTCCCATGTAGCCAACCATGGTTCGAGTTCCAGGGCTGGTGACTTAAACTCATGCTGGGCGTGTGTGCATGCGTGCCCAAGGCGTGCCCAAGATCCCGAGAGGAGAATGCAGGAGCAGGGGTTGTGACGTGGCCATCCACCCTTGGGGGTGATTTCTCACTTTCTGTCTCTCTGTCTCTCTCTGTCTTTCTTAAAATTGCACATTCCCTATAGAAAAAAAAAAAACAAAAACAACTCTCCAAAAAAAAAAAATACCAAAAAATAAATAGGGCTATTTATATTTATTTTAAGTTTTTACTAAAAGCATTTAACCACTTTTTCTTTTCTTTTCTTTTCTTTTTTTTTTTGCAGAATGAGCATGTTGATTACGTAGATGTTGGAGGAGCCTATGTGGGACCAACTCAAAATAGGATCTTACGTTTGTCCAAGGAACTGGGCTTAGAGACCTACAAAGTGAACGTAAATGAACGTCTGGTTCAGTATGTCAAGGTAAGCCTGACTTTTTCTTCTTTTTTAATACCAGTGGGGGAGTATTTATTTGAGAAAATATTTGGTATGTTTCGTTTTTAGGTATTTTCTTTTTTCTCAAAGCAATAATAAAAATGGGACTTTCAACTTTAAAGTACTAGTCTGTCCTTTTTTTTGTTGTTTGTGTTTATTATTTTTTTTCATTTTCTTTCTTAAAAAAGTCCCTAAAGATTCCTGGAATCACTGTGTGAGATCATGTCTTAGCTTGGCCCTCCTCTGTGTTACCAGCTATGTGTGTCACAGGCTAGACCCCACTCCTAGTCCAAGTGGAATAGGCATGGGAGGCCCTCAACACCCCTAACGCTTTTGTATCTACAACTGACATTTTCATGTGCACACACATACACCCACCCACCCACACACACATGCAGGCACACATCCCCAGCCCCAGGCAACCCCTTAGTCACTTTAGAGGCAACCCTAAGGACCCAAGGAACATAATAGCTTCAGTCCAGGTCTTTAGCCTTTGAAGTGGTTTTTCATCCTGACTCTTACCTGGCATTTCTTTAAACACTTTGATAATTTCCTCTGTACCTGGCCTTGACTCTTGGGAAGTCTAGCTCAGTTGTGCAGTTTCCTACTGTTTAAACAAGAGATTGTTTAAACTCTAGTTGCTGATATCCACCCAAGAATCAGCAGCTGTTGCCAGTATTATTCTTTGTCATTGAAGCCAAACACAGAGCAGCTGGAGTCTGGAAATGTGCCTTGAGAAATCAAATTTCCGATCTGACATTGCAGCCCACTTCCTGGAACCAGTGTCTCTAGAGCAGGGGTCATTTACTCATTCCAGTGTCAGGGTTCCCATGCCAGTAATCACATCACTTCTCAATAGACACTTCTCCCCCCATCTCCACCACAGGCAATCATTGCAGTCTGGAGGCTGCAGGGCTTAGGGAATATCCTGGGAGTTACAGAGACTTGTGATGCATGCATACTGATACCCAATCAGGGGAGATGAGAATCTGCAAATTCTGATAGCCATGTGGTTTGAGATACCTAGGAGAGTCTGGCAGTGACACACATGAAAAAATAAACCAGTAGCCTTTAGACAAACTGTGGGTTCAGAGGTCCAGGGAGGAATTGTATTCTTGCATTTAATGTAGGGAGAGAAACCAAACCCTTTGCACTCAGCTACTAACAGTCTTGTAAATTTTCTCTCCACCCCTACTGGGAAGCAGATGAGTATGATGCTTATCCTGGAATCTGAGGAGATTCATGCACATCTCTTTTCTCTATGAGATTCAGATGCTGAAATATTTTTATTTTACCTGGAGGGTAACATTATAACATTAAATAACTAAGTGCTTTTTTATGTGTGAACTCATTAAATCCTTATATTAACCCTGCTTGACACGCATGGTTATCCTCATTTTACAGATAAGGAAACTGAGATTCAAAGCAGTTAGTAACTTGATAGTGCTATAAAACTAGTCATGGTCTACCTAACCCCTGAGTGTACACTTCATTATCTCAGTATATGGCCTAAGAAATGAAACCGAGGGTCCTGAATGGAGGTGTGCTGGGCCCCCAGTGTTGTTGGACCAAACACATATCTCTTGTAAAGTATTTCACCATAAATTTCACTGAGACCTAGCTCATATGATGAATAGGTGCAATTATTGAAAGATCACTTTTCTTTTACCTTCTTACTCTTCTTCCACTTCTTTTGTGTACATTTTGAAAGCAGGGAAAAACTGGATATTTGTAGGTATGTCCTCAAGCCAGGTACCTGATAGTATTCCAGCTAAGCCTTCTCTAAAGCATGCTGTTCAAGTGAGATTTTATAAAACATAGGCGGTTTTTGTGAGTAATTCAACTCCGCATTGTTCTTGAGAGAGCTAGGTGGGAGTTAAAATGAGAAAAATGCTGTTTGAGAATTTTGTCTTTGCTTGGAGGTTACCAAGACATCCCTGCATGTTAACAATAACCTTTCTAACAGGATATTTTGAGATATGTCTCTGTAGTCAAGTATTGGGCTTTCACATATCTCTGTAATATTTTTGGCTTTACCAGGAACCCTGATTTCTAGAAATTTAGGTGTGATTGATCCCTACTTTGACAGGGTCCTGTTGCAAGCTTTAGTAGAGGATGAACTCATGGCAATTCTTAAAGAGACACTATATGCTATATCAGGTGCCTCAATTAGAAAAGAGATGTGATAAACGCAACATCCAGGGTCACTTCCCCTTCTTTGTTGCTGCTGCGGAGTCCCTCTCTAAGGTTAGGTTCACATCATCCCTAATGGTCTTATTCCTAAGGGAAAATGCAACTTCAGCTTTCTGGAGGGGAAAGCCACTCAACTTCTGCCATATTTTCTTTCACAATACAAATATGGCCGAACTGTTGAAGAATCTTCTAGAAAAAGGCATCTCATCATGGCATTGGACTTGGTAGCTTGAGGTTGCTTTCAAGAATGTCAGCATTATTAACCTCTGGATCTTTGCCAGTACTTAGGCATGCACATTAGCACAATGATAATATTAAATTATAATTATTAAATATTCGGCATGTGGCAGGCTTGATGCTAAAGGCATGCTTCACCTGTGCTTTGAACAATAAATAGCACATTTAAATCATAGCCAGGGCGGTCAAGGTCAGTAACACTCCCTTTGTAAAGATAACACTGGCTTTCCTTTACTGAGCTCCTAGTTTGTTCTAAGCCCTATGCCAGGACCTTCCTCTGCATTATCTTAACCCTACAAGGACCCTAAGGCAAGGGTTGTAGCCACATTTCATAGAAAGGGTCTAAAGGTCAGAGGCCAAGTAATCTGCCTACATGAGTAAGAACCACTGAGCCAGAATTCAAATCAAGAGCTTTCAACTTTTCCATGCTATGTTTTGCTATGCCAGATTCCAATGTCAGGGACTGTGGACTACAGGCAGCTACCTTACAGTTTATCCTTGTCCTGGTTCTGTTCTAAAGGTTACTTTATGTTCTTAATTGTGTTCCCATGTGTGGTGCCATTGACCATTTTGCTCAGCCCTCTGGCCTGGAAGGCCAGAAGAGCAGTGTACCAGCCTGCTACAATATAATCACTGTGCCGTGGCTACTGTGTGATGGATAGTTAACAGGAAATTTGCCATTTAAGTGCCAGATGATGAATGTTGAAGCTCTATTTCGAATATTCATACTTACTTTCAAATAACCACATATTTAAGATACTAAACATTGTTCCTTTTCATCTAATGAAAAGACAGAATAGAAATACTTTACTGTTAAATCATCTCCTCATATAATTTAACCTTTCAGAGAACACATATTTTCACCCAAGACAGAAATGTTAAGGCAAAATAACAGTACCCAGTGGCTTGAAAAATCCCACCAGGCGCATGTACGTGTGTGCCCAAAATCCCAAGAGGAGAATGGGGGAGAAGAGATTACAGTGTGACCATCCCCCCCTGGGGGGGGGGGTAATTTCTCACTTTCCTGCTCTCTGTCTCTCTTCATTGAGTGCATAGACTCTATGATGAAAACCTAAAATAAATAAATAAATAAAAAATAAATGTAGTGGATTGGTAAAAGGTTAGTTTATTTTATCTGAATGAGTGCCATTTAGCTAGTGTTTTCTTTCTTTAAAGATACCTTATTTATTTCTTCTATGAAAAAGGGAGACAAGGATATAGAAAAAGAGAGACAGGGACAGGTATCCCCAACAGAGTGTCCATGCCACAATTTACTCCTAGCCTCAGACAGCCTGGATCATGGGCATGCAGTTGTATTCGTGCCTGGTGTTTTCAAGGAGACCTTGGGACGCTAACCTAGTACCTTTGTGTATGACCTCAGCATCACAAAGTGTTGTGTTACCCCTGCACCACCATGGCTCGCCTGCCA